CGAAACCATGGCCCATCCAGGTTAGTGTCGCCACTTTGGACACGCCACGAAGTGCAACTTTGAGACAAAAGTGACGAATTTTGCGAGGATTTCGGGTGCTTCGCCACTGTGGCTGTGGTGGCCTCATGCTGTCCCACGCCCCGCCCGCCCTCTGTGGTGTGGTCGTGGGTTTTGGGGCATGGTTGTTTTTATTATGCTGTGGGTTTCTCCCCTTATGCTCCCGGCCTTTCCTTATGCTAACGGTTTCTGCCCTTCTGCGAACCGGGCTTTTTCTTATGCGAACCTGGCTTATCCTTATGCGAAAATTGCGTTTCCTTATGCTCCCCACGCTCCCCCCCAAACCTGCAAACCAAATTTTGGATATTCTGTCAGAACCTAGGCCCCTGCGAACTTTTTGAAAGCACCCGCTGTCGTTCAAGGAACGATTTTTGGCCCACTGCCCGGTGGCCTTCAAGGCAAAATCAGAAGACAAAACCCGGGCCGTAAACCTACTTTACATAAAAATTTGCCCTTGCCGTGGATCGGCAAAGCCTATGTTTTCACTCTCAAAAACCAATCCCCGGACATCCATCCTAGCCGCGTGAGCCCCTGAAGCATGGTATCGATCCCGAGATGTCTGAAAACCCTATGGAACCTGCAAAACATGATTTTGGAAAACCTAGGCCCCTCCAAGCTTTTTGAGCGCTCCCCGTGCGGTTTCGGCATTGGTTTCTGGCCCACTGCCAGGTGGCCTTAAGGGCAGAATCCGACGCCTCAAAAGGGCCGTGAACCTACTTGAACTTAGAAAATTACCTTTATCGTTGTGACCCTCAACTAACATAATAAATCAATACATAAATAAATATGAACATAGAGACACACGCACCCACATGTACATGGATATGCACATAAAACTACGGATTCACATGAATCACATACGCACACGTGCACAGATCTTGGTCTAGGTCGGGTATGAAGGCTGTCCATGAAAGCTGCGGACGCCTTCATTAGATAACATGGATCGGGCACGAGCACACGCTTTGACGTGTCGACGATACCCACTCGCTACCATGACGAGTATACTGTTATCGCTGCCATCACTACAGGACACTTATTACTCTCATTATTGTACTTGCGACTATCTCCATTATGACTATGGGATCAGTAGGAGCCTAAATAATTACAATACTATTTTGGGGCTCCTTGTTAAAACTATAGTATACAGGGCCCCAAAACCCTGTTCTAATTATTTATTAAAGCCCACTATATCTCCGAACACAAGAGCTCGGCCTTGTTCCTTCGGCGTCCAAAATTCTCTCCATGGCTCAGATATCACCCCAGAATTGGGGGAGGGGGGATGAACCCGACAACAGCGACTCTCAGCTTCAAGAAGTCAACTCTCTCTCTGGCAGTTTCTCTTGCTCCGTTTCTCTTGATTCTGGGTTCGGCTGCTTGGTTCGGCCTGCTGGCTACCAGTATCTGCTCCCGGCTTCGCTAGATAGGCTTGGGCGGGAAGCGTCATGAGCAGATATTTCGTCCTGAGGACCCAGAAAGCACTTTCAAAGCATGCAGGCAATGCCCAAAGCATAGGCGAATCTCATGCTCCACGTCCGCGCGCTCAGGCATCGTGGACAGCACACCCCGAAGAAACGACTGATCCCTAGCTCCCGGCCGCTTCTGCACCCAAGTCCTAAGGGCTGGGACATCAGGGCCAGGCTTCGGGATTTAGGATGGGGCAGTATGCAAAAAGTGGGGCTTCTTGACGAATTGGCCGAAGGGCTAAAGTCTGATCCCATGATTGGGGAGAATATGCGACTCTAGTTTTGCGAGACGTGCTCGGATTGCGGAAAAGCAACCTCGGACACCTTGCCACAAACAACCAAAATACAAAGACCAGGCAATATATGCACCATGCTAAGAGAGTGTGCAGAAAGAAACGAGTTTCTTGTATGAGGGGACACTATCACTATCATTATCGACTCCGAATGTTCCCACTCGATGGCCCCGAAGGGGCTCACAAACATCAACGCTCTGGAGCCAATGGATGATCTGCCGGCCTTTGTCCGCCAAGGCACATCCAAGCCCGGAACTTGTGCCGCGACATGGTCGTTTCGTCTCCGTTTGCAGGCCACTTGCGGCCTGGTCCAGGAAAAAGACTGAAGGGAAGTCTGAGAACGCCCTCTGACAGTTGCGCAGACTTCTATGCCTGCTAGGGCTGCTATGGAGAGCCAGAAGTCAAGTTGCAAACTGGGACCATGCAATGACTACAAGTTCATGGCTTGGGGTTTAGAAGCTCTGATGTGTAGGGCCGGGAACAAAAGGGCACAGAACCCCTTGCAATGTAGAATTGCCACGATATCTGCTGCAACAGGCACGGCAGGCATACAACCCTGGCGTTGGAGCTCCATTGGCAGGGCCTGGTATTGGTTACCAAGAAGCCCGACTCTTGAAGCTCCCTAAGCCCTACACCCTGAACCCTAAGCCCTACACCCTAAACCCCAAGCCCTACACCCTAAACCCTAAACCCTACACCATGAACCCTAAACCCTAAACCCAAACCCCCAAACCCTAAACCCCCACATCCTCAGCTGAAAGCCCTCAGACTCTAAGCCTAAAGGAACTCAGCCACCTCTGAAGCTGGGAGATGAGCAGGTCCACCTGAGTTCACAAGGCTCCCAACCTCGCTCCCTCGGCTCCCAACAATTCCCCAGGCAAAGGCCGCGTAATGTAGGGGCCTTAATAATTAGAATAAGGTTTTTCGGGGTTGCCGCTGCGGCATCAATGACAAAGCCAGCTCATGAGTCTATCAGTTGCCTACAATATTCCAGTCGTGGTGCTTGCAAAGGCGACATAACAAGACAAAATCCAGTGCATCAGTCCACAAGATGAGATCAACGTCATCGCCATGGAGGATTTAGGGGTGTAGGGTGTAAGATCTCATATTCTGCACTGGGTCGGCTGCACGTTTGACGAGTCGCTGGGCCCTGGCAGAATGGAATTGCTCCGGGGCGTGGCAGGGGGCATGGCTTATGGGCCAGGAACATCTTCCACTGATGCGATCCCCTAATTTGATGCCTAGACCCCAAAACCCTCTCTTCAAAAACTCCCCATGCACAGTAGGACTCAGTAGGATGCTTTGGCACTTCGCAGGTTCGATCGCGTGAGATCAAGAAGGGGCTTCAGGAACTTGATACGAGCATGAACAAGCCCTAAATCAAACTCTACTAAGCCATGCTCCAGAAGCTTTCCAGCAGCGCCATCTGATATACCCTGAACCCTAAACCCTAAACCCTAAACCCTAAACCCTACCTACATCGCAAACGCACTCCCAAGTGCTGAGGCGCCAAGCCCTAGCGCCCTAAGCCGTTCGTCCCCACATCAACTCCTGAAGTCGAGTTCTGCTTTACTGAACTGTCCTGAAACCCTAAACCCTCAATCCTAAATACTCAACCCTAAACCCTAAACCCTAAACCCTAAACCCTAAACCCCAAACCCTAAACCCTAAACCCTAAACCCCAAACCCTCAAGAACGAGATAGACAGAAATTGCATGTCTTTGTTCACCTTGAAACCCCCTAAACCCACCAAAAAATGGAGCCCGCTCCAGCCCCAGCCCAGCAGCCCAGGCCGAAATCAGGCCGCCCCAGCCCTTGAAACCCAAAACGCTCCCAGCCCCAGCCCCGGGCCCAGCCAAATTCGAAAGCTGGCCCGGCCCGGCCCCGAACTCGAAATCAGGTTCCAAAACAAGAAACCTCGGTCAACGCGTGGGGTTTAGGGTTTAGGGGTCTTGGGGTTTAGGGGTTTAGGGTTTAGGGTTTAGGTAAAAAATCCTATCAAAACTTGTTGACTTATTGGCACCCGAACCCCAAACGATTTCTAAAGACACCAAAACCCAAAACCACAAACCCCAAACCCTTCAACCCTCGATCCTCAAGTTGGCATAAACGAGGCCGGGGGGGAGATCCCGAGAGTTCCGATAAATCCGGGTACCCAAAGATCCGAAACTCCATCCAAGCCAAAACCGAAAAAAAAAAAAACTAATGTAGGGCCTAAGTAGTTCCCTGTACTATTTTGGGGGGGTCCTGATTACAAGTATAGTATACTGGGCCCCAAAACCCGATTCTAATTATTAAGGCCCCTATATTAGGGAACACGAGGTGCGCAAGTTTCAACCGTACAGACATCTCTGCATCTATGTCAGCACACTACACTCGTACGTAGGCCGACGTAAGCATACATTACATACATGTACGATGTATGTAAGAGAGGAGAGAGAGAGAGAGAGAGAGAGAGAGAGAGAGGGAGAGGGGGAGAGAGAGAGAGAGAGGGAGAGACAGAGAGCATGTTCATGCATGCATGCATTGGATTGGACTGGATTGGACTGGACTGGATTGGATAGGATAGGATAGGATTGGATTGGATTGGATTGGATGGATGGATGGACGGAGGGATGTATGTCTCACCCACTCACTCACCCACCTACCCACCCACCCACCCACTCACTTTCTCATTCACGGCCTCGGAAGAGTCTTCAAGCCGAGCAGGGGGGACATGGCCCCGGCGTGTTGGCAGGAATTGGGCAGACCAACAGCAAGTAGCAACGTTGGTGGGAGACAACGCGGGCCAGGAACACAGCCTTCCGCACCCACACGACAAAGCCGAACAACAGGCAAAACGGCTGTGTCCATACCCCACCTCACTGGTCGTTTTCCACTGGAGGTGTATGTCTGTCTGTAAGTATGCATGTACGTGTGCATGTGTGTGCAAGTGTGTCTGTCTGCAAGTATGTAACATAGGGGCCTTAATAATTAGAATAGGGTTTTGGGGCCCATTATAGTATAACTATCTAGAATAAGGAACCCCCAAAATAGTATAGGTAGCTATAACGGCCCCTATCTTTTTACAATTATAGTATACTGGGCCCCAAAACCCTTTTCTAATCATTAAGGCCCCTATAAGTATGTAAGCCCGAATCCGGCCTCGGGGACGCCGGTGCCCTCGACTCGAGGCCGCCTACCATGCGGAGCCCAGCTCGGCTTTGCCGTGGCGATCGTGGCGGACATGGTCAAGATGGATTCAATGATGGCGAGGGTTTAGGGTTTAGGGTTTAGGTTGCTTTAGGGTTTAGGGTTTCAATGATGGTGATGATGATGGCGATAATGCTGCGTGTGTGGGCATTCCGATTAGTGCCATGGTCTCGTTCCGGAAATTAGGGTTTGACGAGTGTACACTGTTGCAGGCAAAAGCAGACGGCCTGGCAGCGGGTTAGCATCGGAGGGCTCCTGCACATACGCGGGTAGTGACTCCACAGCAATCTGCATCTCAACCAGGTTCCCCAAATTAAAAATGTGTGCCAACGCCAACGCCCCGGATGGTCGAGTCGAAGTATGGGCTGCGGAAAACTAAACAAAATCGCCAGCATATCGGGATCCTCAGCTTCAACATTCTTGTTTCAGGCTGTAGGGCACTCTAGGGGCACACAACTGCTTAGATTTGTGCATAGCTCGATGTTCACAGGCAAGGGCGCAGTTCGATCGCCTTCGTCTAGGATAAGCGACCGGATGCGTGAGAGGCATGAGACAGTTGTGTAACCACCATCATATCGCCATGTGAAGCTTGGGATGCTCGGACGGTGAACCGGAAGCTCCTCCATGTGCAGCATGGAGGTATCATCTGGCCTTCACTGTCCAGGACAGGTCGAACTCTCCACGTAGATATCCACTCTGCTTTTATCATCCAGCTGTCAAGCACAGTCAATATGAATATGTACCGATGACGCAACATCCGACTGTAGGAAACTCTCTGGCAGCATGCTCACAACGCAACGCTGTCAACAAGCAGGTCAGATGTGATTCTATTGGCATCATCCTGCCTCGGGGACGGATTTACCTGGGACTTAAGCGCTGAATCCAGGTCGTTGTCGGATTCGCATGTTTTTGCTAACCTGTCGTGTGGTTGTTGTGTTTTGGAGAGGTTCAATCCTTGAATCAAGGGATTCACTCAGCTTGTGAGAGGCTACGACTTGGCACTTGCATTGCCAAGTCCCTGTCTGCCTAGCTTTCCGGAACATCTAGCCGGACTGGTCGGACTGCACCAGTCGTGTGTAGCTACTGTAGGGGCAGATGCGCTTTTGTGTTCTCTGTAGAAACCTGTCACACTATAGTATTCTCTTAGAGCCCCCATACAATAATCACAACAGCAAACAGAATCATCATAATCAAAAACATAAACATAAACATACAAGTGGCTGCAATAATAGTAGGAAGAAGACTCACAATCAAAGTAATAGAGAAATGCGAAGCTTGCAAGAATACTATGCTGAGACCGGCTCGCCAAGGTCTGGCTTGGGCGCCGTCTTCTCGGCGAGGCCACCGGGGATCCCTCGCCAACCTTGGCTTCAGGCTGAGAAGATCAGGGAAAGAGGGTCTAGGGCTCTAGGATTTTGGGTTTAGGAGTTTAGGGGTTGTGAGTACTGGATCTAGGTCTTGGAGCTGTGCTTTAGCGCTTCGGGCTCGAGGATAGAAGGGCTTCAGGATATGGCCCTTCCAAAGCCGCGGCGTTTTGCTGAGTGCCCCGCTGTAGAGAGCTTTGCAACAGTGGCGGAGGGAACTCAACTCACGCACCTGTGGCTGGATCGAACGAGTCCACAATCAAAGAACAAATCCCGAAGAAGGCGGAAGATGATGGCGGGAATCAGCTGGGGAAGTCCATCTGGCCGAGCTACATCAAATTATCATAAATGTTCTGATCTCCGGCTTAGCCGAACTCAAGTCTCACAGTTTCGGTCCCTCATGATAATTTCGGACACTGAACCCTAAACCCCAACTCAACCCTTTGCCCTAAGCCCTACTAAGAACCCTAAACTAAGCTCTAGCTAAATCCCTTAGAACATGATCCCAGCAAAGCTCTGATCGGAAGATCGAGAGCCCTGCAGTCTCGCTGTGGCTTCGCCAGCCACCAAAAGCGCAACGGAGCCGAAAAAGGTCCTTCCGGGTTTAGGGCTTATAGGGTTTAGGGTTTAGGGTTTGGGGTGCACTACTCTGCGCTTTGGCTCATCTTGCGACGGGTTGTTGTGAACAATATCCTGTTGGTGACTGCCGGTTTCCAGAGACCGGGTGCTTTGCACCGCGCCTCACATAGATGCCTAACCGAAATTTGAGCCACTCAAAACCCAGAATCCCTCCGGCGAATCATTACGAATCCCCTGGTAAGAGTACTATGATAGCCGATATCAAAGTTGTTTAACTATGTATCTAACTAACTATCTAACTGACTACCGGATTGACTGATTAACTAGCTAACGAACTAACTGACCGACTGACTGACTAAATATCAAAGCAAACAAGCACCACAAGCATACTAACTAAACTAGCTAGGTACCTGACGAACTAACTATCCAACCAGCCCGAGTAATACCGGTATCAGATTCAGAAGTGGGAGTTTCAGAAAATAAGGGGTACTGTATTGGGGGGGTCCTTATAATAAGGATCCTACTATTTAGGGTACTATCTTAGGGTCCCCTATCTTCAGAATCTACCAATAAACCCTAAACCCTAAACCCTAAACCCTAAAAGTATCTTCCAAACAGGGTCGCCGCAACTTCCCAGCCTGGAGCTCCGCCCTGCGTTCTGCTGCCCGGCCTCGGGCCAAAGTGCGGCTACAGCTAGGGTTTAGGGTTTAGGGTTTAGGGGGATTTTAGGGCTCGGCACTCTGGGGTTTAGGGCGTCAGGGCTTTCGGGTTTCGTGCGGCAAAGCTTTGGGTAGGTGTCCCGAATTTTAGAAGTTTAGGGCTTAGCGGTTTGGTATCGGGGAGTTCGTGAAGGATGAGACGGCCAGATTCAACATGATCACCGGGTTTCGTGGGTCTTTCAGCTTTGCCAGGAGACATATACATACACACATGTGTGCATAGCTGAATGCCAGGTCATATCATACCATGTGCATCCTTACATGCCTGTATGAATGTATGCATGTATGTCTTATGTATATACGTATGTACGTATGTACGCATGTACGTATGTACGCATGTACGCATGTCTGTATCTATTTATGTATGTACGCATGTATGTATGTATGTATGTATGTATGTATGTATGTATGTATGTATGTATGTATGCACGTATGTACGTATATGTATCATGTGTGTATGTATGTATGTATGTATGTATGTATGTATGTACG